TCATGACAACACAACAGAAGAATAGCTTCAGAGATAGTAGGAACTGCAGATGCTGGAGAATCCGAGACAACAAGGTGCAGGGCTGGATGAACACAGCAGGCCAAGCAGCATCATAGGTGCAGAGGGGCTGACGTTTCGGGCCTAGACCCTTCATCAGAAAAGAGAAGAATAGCTTCCATTGCTTTTTATTCCAACTCCATTGAGATAAACATCATTACTCATTCACTATGTGCAATGTAGTTGTTTGCCAGCTGTAGCTCAGTTGGCTGGACAGCTGGTTTACAAAGTAATGGCAACAGTCCAGCTGAGGTAATCATGAAGGATCTTCCTTCTCTACCTCACCCCTGCATCCAAGGTGCGGTGACTCTCCAGTTAAACCACCACCAGTTGTCTCTGTCTAATGAGAGAGCAGCCCTATGGTCCAGTTGGACTATGGTACTTTATCTTGAACAATCCCTGCATATAGGCATCCAAATGTTTCTGCTCTTACACAGTTCATACTCTTTTGCATCACAAGCTCAACCTGTGGCCGTTGTTTCAACTGTTGGTGTGTTGTGTGTCAGTCTCTGGGCACAGCACATGTTAGATGTGGATTTACAGAAATAAGTGAAAGCCTCTGGTGTTAAGTAACCAAGTTAAAGGCACAAGAAACAGAAATCATTTTCAAAGCTTCATCTAACTGCACAAATAGCTGACATGGTGACAAGGATAAGAGCCTTACTGTGTGCCCAAGGGTTTGGATCCTAAAATTTTGCTTCCGAATGAACACTGTAGATTGTAAACTGACAGAGCAAGAAAAACAAAGCTTGGAAAACAGCACTGTGTATAGAGATAGGAGCAGAAGTAGACCATTCAGCCCATCAAGTCTGTTCCACTATTCAATGAGATCACGGTGATCTGATTAATCCTCAACACCACTTTCTTGCCTTTCCCCATAACCCTGAAAATTCTCCCCTTATCCCAACTCTGTTTTCTGTTGGTTAGTCAGTCCTCTATTCATGATAGTATACTGTCGCCAACATAACGGCCTCTTATCTTATTAAGACTGTAAGATACCAGAGTAGAATTAGGCCGCTCAGCCCATCAAGTCTGTTCTGCCATTCAATTATGATGGATATATTTCTTAACCCCATTCTCCTCCCTTCTCTCCATAACCCTTGATCCCTTTATCAATCAAGCACCTATCTATCTCTGTCTTAAATACAGTCAATGTCTTATCTTCTACAGCAAAGAGTTTCACAGATTCACCACCTCTGGCTGAAGAAATTCCACCTCATCTCACTTCTGAAAGGTTGTCCCTTCACTCTAAGGCTGTGCCCTCAGGTCCTAGTCCCTTCTACTAGTAGAAACATCTTCTCCATATCCATTCTATTCAGGCCTCTCAGTATTCTCTAAGTTTCAATCAGACTCCCCCTCATCCTTCCAAACTCAATCGAGTACAGACCTGGAGTCATTAACATCTCCTCACATAGCAAAGTCTTTTCTCCAGGATCATTCTTGTAAACCTCCTTTGGCCTCCCTCCCCTCCCCAGCAAATCTGTCCTTAGATACGGCGCCCAAAACTGCTCACAATATTCCAACTATTAACTACCCATGACTTATTGAATACCTTCTGAAATCTAAATATATTATATCTATGAATTCCTCTTTATCTGTCCCACTGCTCCCTTTTCAAAACCAGTAATACATTTGTTGGACATGATTTCCCCTTTGTGCTGACCCTGCTGAATCCCATCAAGCTGACTCTGTTTGGTTTTGTTATGTATTTTTAAACAGACGGCTATTACATCCCTTCTAATAATACACTAACATACTCCCAATGGTAAATGATAAGCTCATTGACCAATAGATATCTGTTACAAAAACAGATATTGCTAGAAAGACCCAGCAGGTCTTGCACCATCTGTGGAGAGAAGGCAGAGTTAACATTTTATTTTATTCATTTGTGCGCATAGCTGGCTAAACAGCATTTATTGCCTGTCCCTAGTTGCCCCTTGAGAAGGTGGTGGTGAGCTGCCTTCTTGAACTGCTGCAGTCCACCTGCTGTGGGTTAACCCACAATGCTATTAGGGAGGAAACTCCAGGATTTTGAACCAGCGACAGTGAAGGAACGGCGATATATTTCCAAGTCAGGATGATGAGTGGCTTGGAGGGACACTTGCTGGAGGTGGTGTTCCCATGTATTTGCTGCCCCCGTCCTTCTAGACGGATCGTGGGTTTGGAAGGTGCTGTCTAAGGATCTTTGGTGAATTTCTGCAGTGCATCTTGTAGATAGTACACACTGCTACTACTGAGTGTCGGTGGTGGAGGGAGTGGATGTTTTGAGTGCGATGACCCTTCTTCAGATAGTGACCTGCTTTTTTTTTGTTTCCCTCTCTATTCAAATAAGATTGTTACATTGGCAATGTTCAAATCATTAAAATCATTTTGATCAAGGACCTATTGCAATTGCCTGTGTAACTGTCAATTCAAATACTGATGCTCATTGTTATTGTTGATTCCAATGGGTTAACTTCTTGGAAATTCGCTCCCTTTGTCCTCAATTCACAATGCAACCAATGTGTACTATGCCCCGCAGAAATTCACCAAGGCTCCTTAGACAGCTCTTTCCAACCCCATGACCATTTCCATTGAGAAGAACAAGGGCAGCAGATACATGGGAATACCACATTAATTGACATATTCTCCAATCAGAGTCTATTTACCATCCATTCAGCCTCACTCCTTAATGCAGTACAAAATGTTGAGTTTCTCTTGAACTGATATTCTTGCAAGTTGTTCTGATGTGTGCAAGGGAAAAGCTCTAGCAAAATGTGTTTTTTTTTTCAATAATATTTAGGACACTGGTCATCCTCACACTGACCATCAACACCCTCAGGTGAAGTACTTTCTGCTGGTCATCAGAGTAGCTGATGAGAACACAGGACTTATCCTTCAACCAACATCATCAAACTAGACTATCTAGTCATTTATCTCCATAGCAGCTTGTGGAGCTTGCTGTGTATAAATTGGTTGCTGTATTTCCATCATTGGCAAGAGGTTTACAGATTTTTTTTGCAGATGCATTTTGGGACATCCTAAGTTTGTGAAAGGCGTGATATAAATGCGAGCATTTTTATCTTCATTAATTCATTTTCCCACTAAAACAGAAAACAGAGACGCTCTCTCACAGTTGGGGACATCAAAGTTTGAGGATGATGCCAGTCCATTAAGTAAGAATAAGATACCAGCCTGGTGCCAATTGTTTTCTGAGCCTGGCTCTTCATTCTCACAGAGCTTTTTGGCACAGGCTGACAGATCTTCAGGAACAAAATTTAAAGTATTCATAGGAAAGAATGTACACATAAATAGTAACAGACATTGCTAACATTTTCCAGATTCACATTGTGTTGAGAAAAGATTGGCTTTGCGTCAGCATGGGCAGTAAGGATTGATCATCAGGAAGGGAGCTAGGCCTCGGAACATTCAGGAGGGCTCCAGGAACATATAGGGGCCCCACAGACTCTATCATTCAACAAGATCATCATGGCATAATACCTCAATCTCACTTTTGTATCCTATATTTCCATATCCCACCAGTTCTAGAGACACATTTTCAAAATAAGAGGACTCCCATTCCAAAAGAAGATGAGGAGAATCTTTCTGAGTTATTGGAATTCTCTTCCCCAGAGAATGGAGGAGGCTAAGTTGCTGAATATTTTTTAAGGCTGAGTTCTTTACTGACAAAGGAATCAAGGGGTCTAGACGCTGGACAGTGGAGCGGGGTTGAGTTCACAATCAGGTCATCCAGGATCCTGTTGAATCGCACAGCAGGCTCACTCCTGCTCCTAATTTCCAATTTGTATCCCTTAATTCTCTCAGTAATCCTTAATTAGACCATAACACATAGGAGCAGAAATTAGGCCATTCAGCCTTTCGAGTCTGTTCCACCATTCAATTGCATCTGATAAATTTTTCAACCCCATTCCCCTGCCTTCTTCCCGTAACCCTTGATCCCCTCGACAATCAAGAACCTATCTATCTATCTCTGTCTTAAATGTTCACCATATTAAAAAAAAACTATTGACTTCCACAACCCTCTGGAATAGAGAGTTCCAAACATTGACAGCTTTATAAATCAAGAAACTTTCCATCATTTCCTAAACAACTGATTCTTATTCAGCCATGTTCTAGGATCTCAAACAAGGACAAACTGTTTCTCAGTCTACTGTCTAGGAAACCTCTTGATAATTTTTAATATCTTCTTCCAAACCCATGACCACTTCCATATAGAAGGACAAGAACAGCAGGTACATGGGAACACCAGCCCCTGCAAGATCCTGTCCAAAACACTCACCATCCTAACTTGCAACTATACCGCCATTCCTTCAGTCGCTGGGTCAAAATCCTGGATTTCCCTCCCTAAGGGCATTGTGGGTCAACCTGCAGCAGGTGTACTACAGCGGTTCAAGAACGCAGCTCACCACCACCTTCTCAAGGGCAATTTGGGATGGGCAATAAAAGCTGACATAACCATAAATGCCCACATTTCCATGAGTGGATAAAAATAGGATGAAGTCCCTTTGTTCTAAACTCCAAGGGAATAGTTCACGCTATCTCTCACCATTGGACGATCCTATCATGCAAAGGAACAAAAGTAGAAATTGCTGGAAATGCTCAGCAGGCCTGCAGCATCTGTGGAGAGAAATTCGAATTAATGTTTCAGGTCCAGTGACCCTTCCTCAGACTCTATCATGCAACGGTCTGGTCTGATGAGGCTTTGTTGAACATCTTTCTAGCACGAGTTTGTAGTTCCTTGGGTAAAGGAGTCAAAGCCCGCACAAGCTAATCTGAATGTTGCCTTACCAATGCTCAATGCCCAATGCCCAATGCCCTGCTTAGATCTGCAGGGTCTCTAACTGGCTTCTGGTTCTATAGTATTCCCCTAATGAAATAATTGTAATTGTATTAATATCATGACATCACCAATACTTCACACAAATTCAACATCACGTTCATCATTTTTACATTTCAATTTCTGCTTTATAAAGATGAGAACAAAAAATAAATCTACATTGATTGTCACACTCTGAAATATTGGACAGATAGTACAATGGATTGTCAAAGTGACTTGTTCAACTTTAAATCTACATCCTCAAAGGAACTGTTTGGATTCTGAGAAAGAGGTAGTTAATGTACATGCCTCATGAGCATATAGAAGCCTGGAGAGTATCCAATCAGCTGTCAACCCGTGTTGATGGATAGACTGGGCTGTACAGTGGGAATGAGTGTAAATACTAGTACAGGCAGAATGGCTTTCTGCACTGGAACAAGTCTGTGATTCTGTGAAATACTGAAGGGCTCCTTGGGGACAGATCAGTGAATGCTGCCTGCAACAATATCCTTATTCAGTACTTCCTGAAGTCCAGTATATCATCCAGTCACACATCACCTTCCCAGACAGACCATGGGAGCCGGGTGATTTTTTAAGTTCATTCATGGGGGCATCGCTAGCCAGGCAGCATTTATTGTCCATCCCTAATTGTCCCAGAGGGCAGTTAAGAGTCAACCACATTGCTGTGGGTCTGGAGTCACATGTAGACCAGACCAGGTAAGTATGGCAGTTTCCTACCCTAAAGGACCTTAATGAACCAGATGGGTTTTTCCTGACAATCGACATTGGATTCACAGTCATCATTAAGACTCTCAATTCGAGATATTAATTGAATTCAAATTCCATCATCTGCTGTGGCGGGACTCGAACCCAGGTCCCCAGGGCATCATCTGGGTCTCTGGATTAACAGTCCAGTGATAATACCACTAGGCCATTGCCTCTGCTGACAGATTATGGGAATCGAGAGATCCCAGACACACTGTTGGAACGGGATGATCCTCGACAGACTGTGGAATGGGGAGATCCCAGACAGAATGTGGGAATTGGAATATCCCAGATATTCTACAAGTTCCAGGTGTCTCCTGCAGTAGATGAGAATGGTTACCCATCATTTCAGTTTGAGCTGAAAGATTGAGTCTATGACTAAGACAGAGCCCCACTCCACTAGCTCCGGATCCCACAAGGCTACTCGTGTTCAACAAATGGGAGAGTGGAGTGATGGAGAGGGAAATGTGGCCCAATCTCCTTGTAATATTCCGCAGCGTAATGAAAGATAAACCTGAGGATGTTTCCCTGGCACTGCACTGACCCATCTGTCCTTCAGTCCTGGGAGCACATCTTTACTCTGGGACTGTGCGTCCCTGACATTTCTTACCCATTGCTTGTTGTCCTAAGAAGGTGCTAATGAACCTTCCTCACAAACAGTTAGGTAGGACGGATTATCATTGCTGGTTTAAGAGTTAATCACATGGAGGGTTGGAGTTGTGCACAGGCTCACATCCAGTAAGGACGGCAGATTTCCTTCCCTAAAGGAATATTATTTATGACAATCTGACCATTTCATGGTCACTCTTACTCAATTACTGATCTTGATCAAAGTTAGATTTTCAAACAGCCCAGTGAATACGATAATGAGGAAATGAAATATAAACAAAAAACAAGCAGTGGGTTCATTTCCAGCAGAATAGTATTGGTCATATGGTCTTGTATAAGAGCAGGGAAATTATGTTAAATTTGTACACAACCTTAGTTCAGACCACAATTGAACTGTGAACATTTCTGATCTCCATATTACAGAAGGGATATGGGGCACTGGAGAAGGTACAAAAATGATTTTAAAAGGTGATATCAAGACTGGATGTTCTAATCATGAATCATAGAAGCCCTAATGTGCGGAAGCAGACCACTGAGCCCATTAAGTCCACACTGACCATCTGAAGAGTGTCCTACCCAGACCCACCCCAACCTCATAATCCTGAATTTACCACAGCTAACCCACTTAGTCTGCACATCTATGGACACTATGGGTAATTTAGCATGGCCAATCCACCCTAATCTGCACATCTTTGGACTGTGGGAGGAAACCAGAGCAAACCCACACAGACATGGGGACAATGTTCTATGCAGACAGTTGCCTCAGGGGGGAATTGAACCCAGGTCCCTGGTGCTGTGAGGAAGCAGTGCTAACCACTGAGCCAACATGCTGCCTCTTAGAGAGGGCTGAACATTGTAAGGCACTCTTACCTTGCAAAGAAAAACCAAAGAAGCATCTCTAGCATCTGTATAAGACCCAATATGGGAAAAGTTATAGAAGACAGTTCAATTTGTGAGGGAGATCGAAACTAGGGGCTATGAATGTAATAATCACTAATAAATCCAATAAGGAACTCAGGAGAAACAACTTTACTCAAAAGAATTAGGAGAATGTGGATCGATGGCGGGGGGAGGGGGAAGAGGAGTAGAAATACAATTTATGAGAAGCTGGTTAAATGTGTGACGGAGGAAGGTTTAGGCAGAAATGTTGATCAGGTGAGATGAAGTGAGGGAGAAGGATCATGCAGAGCAGAAACATCAGCACAGATCAGTTGAGCTGAATGGTCTGTTTCCATGCTGTAAACTCCATATAATCTGGTTGTTCTAGTGGTGGCCTAGCAATTGTAAGGTTTTAAGTACAAGTCCCACTATAGCAAACAGTGAACTCCAGAAATTAATAACCTGTAGGGAGAGGATCAAAAACATCATACTTGAGAAACCCAATTAATTCATTCATATCTTTCACTCAACCTAACTCTAATTAATCAGGACTAAAATGAAACAAATAACTGCTGGAAATCTGAAACAAAAACAGACACTGCTGGAGAAACTCAGGGGAGCATCTGTAAAGAGAGAAACAGAATTAACGTTTTCAATCCCAGACCTGGGAGAACAAAGAAAACCTGGATGTTCTAAACGTGAATTGATTGTCATGCCCTGAAATATGTTTTTGAAGAAGTCACTGGACTTGAAACGTTAACTCTTCTTTCTCTTCACAGATGCTGTCAGACCTGCTGAGCTTCTCCAGCAATTTCTGTTTTTGTTCTAGTTGATTCGGTCAAGGATTATAATTAATTAGAAATTATTCCCTTGATTGGATTGAATTCTATTCACTGCAGCAATCTTTTCCCATCTCTGTGTAGGTGACCTCTTGTAATACACCTGTCTTATCAAACCTGGAGAACCACAACCCCTCTGAGGTACCGAACTGCAAAGCTTCACAACCCTTTGAGTGAAGAATTTTCTCCTCATTTCGCTACTTAAAATATCACAACCATGTTGGACCCCTGGATAGCCCAGTACCTTTCAAGTCCACTCAAAAACGAGAGGATTATCCAACTCGCCCTCATCGCACTTAGAATGGTGACAAATTAGTGTTACCAACTCTGCTTAAACATGCTCCTGGAGGGTTCAACGTGATTACTTGTGCCCGGGGCACTGAAATATCGATTGATCTCCATCTCCAATATTTTTAAGCACTAATACAAATAAAAATGTGCAAAGTATAGAATAAAAATGCAGAATTATTTAATGCCCCTGTGAAATATGTTTTCTTTGACTGCTCCTAGCGGTTAATGGTGGCCCATTGGCAACTCCAGGGTGAAGGGAGGTTGCAGTCAATGGGATAGGAGGAACATGAGGGATGAGTGGAAGTTGTTTGGTTGGGGGGAGGGGCAAAGACTACGCTGATTATGGCCCCATGATAAATATCCCCCATAATTGGCACTCCATTGATCTCTCACTGCACCCCTCCGGATATATCTGTCTGTTAGAGTGAAATGGAAGACTGGTGGGAATCATAAAATGAACCAAACCACTGCCCCTCTCAGCCTTAAACTTCTATGTCCCGCTCCTCTGCCCCATCTTGGCATTTTTGCCCTGCGGATGAATTATCCGGTTTGGTTTCATTCAAGTCAATTGTTGCCTCGTGTTTCGATTTCTCTGCTTCTTCTTGCCTCTCCTTCGCAAGGAGGCGATAATTGATTGCATTGCCGATGAGCAGGAAGATACTCGCAAAGATCAGCACTGCTCCACACGCAAAATACACATAGCGGAAGTCATTGTACGTGTCTTTCAGCAAACCTGCAACAAAAAGACAGCTCTGCAATCACCATACGTCTTTCCTATGATTCAACATCACATCAATGAGTAAGATGTTTAGGTCCAATCCTCCACCCAATCCTTCCCCCTTTCCCACTGTTTCCCTCTCCCTAGCCCGTCCCCAAACTGACCCAGATTTAATAAGGTGGGTAACAGATGTATGGGGGAAGCAGGGGTCAGGAAGACCTTTGTCTTACACAGTGAGAGGTAATAACCTGAAACATGGTGCCTCTGAGGGGGGTGAGTAGCTCGAGACAATGGATGGTTTCAAAGGAAATTGGATGAACTTATTTTTAATCCATTCATGGGACAAGGATGGTGCTGGCTAGGCCAGCATTTATCGCCCATCACTAATTGACCAGATGGTAAATGTGGATCTGGAGTCACACGTAGGCCAGACCAGGTAAGGATGGCAGTTTCCTTCCCTAAAGGACATTAGTGAATCAGATGGGTTTTTCCCAATAACTGACAATGGTTTCATGGTCATCATTAGACTCTTAATTCTATTGAATTCAAATTCCACCATTGGCTATGGTGGGATTCAAACCTGGGTCTCCAGAACGTTATCTGGGTCTATGGATTAACAGTCCAATGATAATACCACCAGGCCATCACCTCCCCTGTTGCAAGGAAGGAGCTCACAGTGACAGGGATACAGCAGCAGAATGGGACTGACTGGATTGTTCTACAGAGAACCAGCACAGTCTTGATGGGCCAAATGACCACCTTCTATGCCATAATGACTCTGTGGTGATGTTCGGGTCTATTTGTAAATTGACTGCTCAAAGGGTCCCAGTTCTCTCTTTCTGTCTCGGTTGCTAAGGGATTATTTCCTTTTGTGATTTTACAAAGTATCTGCAGTACCGTGGAGCCGTGAGGGTTGTATTGCTTTCAGCAAAGTTACAAAGGGGAGATTTAATACGGGAGTTTGAAATGAAGGGTTTTGATTGAGTAAATATGGAAATTATATAAAAACTGTTTCCAACGGCAGGAGGATAAATAACTAAATGTGATTGGTAACAAGTCTGAGAGAGGAGTAGAGAAACATTTTGTTGGAGATGCTGGAGTTCTTGCCTGAGATGGCAGTGGAAGCAAATTCAATGGGAATTTTGAAAAGAGAGGTACCTAGGGGTTCAGGTACATAATTCTTTGAAGTTTGCATCACAAGTAGACAGGGTGGTTAAAAAGTCATTTAGCACGCTTGCCTTCATTGCTCAGTCCTTTGAGTGTAGGAGTTGGGAAAGGCATTTTGAGGTTGTACAGGACATTGATGAGGCCTCTTCTGGAGTACAGTGTCCAGTTCTGGTCACCCTGTTATAGGATGGATATTATAAAGTTGGAGAGGGTTCATAAGAAATTTACAAGGATGTTCCCCAGTAAAGAGGTTTGAGTTATAAAAAAATGCTGGATAGGCTGGGACTTTTTTCACTGGAGCATAGGAGGTTGAGAGGCGACCTGTAGAGGTTTATAAAATAATGGGGGGGGGTATAGATAGGGTTAATGGTAGTTGTCTTTTCCCTGGGATGAGGGATTTCAAGAATAGGGGACACATTTTTAAGGTGAGAGGACAGCGATTTAAAAAAGACATGGGGGCAATTTTTTTATAATGAACTTCCAGGGGAAGTCGTAGATGCGGGTACAATTACAATGCTTAAAAGACATTTGGATAAGTGCATGAATAGGAAAGATTTGGAGAGATATGGGCCAGGAGCACACAGATAGGATTAGTTTAGTTTGGGATTATGGTCCAACCATGGACTGGTTGGACTGAAGGGTCTGTTTCTGAGCTGTATGACTGTATCGCTATATGACTAACTGCAGGAAAAGAGCAGGGCAGAGGGACCAGGAGCTCGGATGAGGGGGATATCTTCAGGATGACAATCTGTAACTATTGAAGTGCCACAGGGAACAGTGCTGGGGCCACAGGTATTTACAATATTTAATAATGACTTGTATGAGGAAAGGGAATGTATTGTCACCAAGTTGGAGGATGACACAAAAATAGGTGGGAAGGCATGTGATAAGAAGGACACAGAGTCCACAGAGGGATAGAGGCAAGCTAAGCGAGTGGGCAAAAAAATTGGCAGATGAGATAAAATGTGGGAAATTGTGAGGTTATGGATTTTGGCAGGAAGAGTAGAGGAGTTGAATATTTTTCAAATGAAGAAAGACTGCAGAACGCTGCAGCACAGAACAATCAGGAGTCCTTGTGCATGAGCCAGAAAAAGCTAACCCACAATTTCAGCGGGTAAAGGGGAAGGGAAGTGGAGTGTTGGCCTTTATTTCAGAGGGAATGCAGTATGCAAGTAAGGAAATCTTGCTAAAACTAAACAAGGTCAGACCATACCTAGAATATTGTGAACAGTTTTTGGCCCCTGATCTAAAGAAAGACATACCCTCATTTGAGATAGAACAGAGAAGGTCCACTGAGCTGATCCTGGGTATGGAGGGACTGTTTTATGAGGAGAGGTTGAGTAGGTTGGGCCTGTACTCAATGGAACAAAAACAAAGTTGCTGGAAAAGCTCAGCAGGTCTGGCAGCATCTGTGGAGGAGAAAACAGAGTTAACATTTCAGGTCCGGTGACCCTTCCTCAGTACTCAATGGAGTTTAGAGGTGACCTTATTAAAACATTTAAGAGTCTTACAGGACTTGACAGGGTAGATGTGGAAAGTTTGTTTATCCTTGTGTTGGAGCCTAGGACTGTGGGGTACAGAATAAGGGCCACCCTTTTTACAGATGTGGAGGTATTTCTTCTCTCACAGGGTAATGAATCTGTGGAATTCTTTATCACAGTGGGCTATTAAGGCTGGGCCATTAAATATGTTTAAGGCTGAGATAGATTTTTAATCAGTGGGATAATCAATGGAAAGCAGACAGGAAAGTGGAGTTGAGGATTATCAGATCAACCATGATCAGATTGAATGGGGGAGCAGAATCAATGGGCTGAATAGCCTGTTTCTGCTCTCATGGTCTTAATTGAAGCATTTGTTCATTGTTCTTTCACAGGCACAACGGGCTGAATGGCCTCCTTCTGTGTTCCATACTTGTATGTCCCAACAGCAAACACAGCCCTGCTTACCCAACAGTGGAGGTCCCAGCAATACAGGGCAACATTCCACTATGGTGACCAGTCCCACTGCACTGGAGAACCTCTGTGCACCAACCATGTCCATCAAGGTCTCAAAGAGGACAGAGCTCAGCATGCCAAAGGCAAACCCAAAGAAGATGGTGTAGATGACCAGGCCGGTATAATCAGTTGCCAACGGCATCATGATGTGGCAGATGCCATTGTAGAAGATGGAGAAGGTGAAAAAGTACTGGATCTTGGGCCTCACCCACTTGGTGTTGGCCAGAAGTCCCATGGATGGTCGAGCAAACATGTCCACAAAGGCCAGGATGGAGAGCAGGAAGGCTGCTTTGTACTCATCAATTTTCATATGCTTGGCATAAGTGGACAAGTAGACCAGGGGTGCAAACAGGCCAAAGAACATAATGACATTGCCAGACAGGTAGATCAGGAAACCTCTGTGTTTGAAGAGCGACAAATCCAAGTATTTGCTAATGGTTTTGAAGATGTTGAGCTTTGCTTTGGCTTTGCCGGTCATAAGGTCAGAGTTCACACCAGCTTCACCCTTGGCATCCACTGGCTGTTTGGATCCACCGCTCCACTTAGGGCCTATAGGACGCATAAGAGATCCAGCCACACAGCAGTTGAGTAAGATAGCCCCCAGGATCAGGAAGCCTCCTCTCCATGAGTAATTGTCAAAGAGATACTGGTTAAGGGGGGCCAGTGTGCTGAGGACAACTGGACTTCCTGCCATCGCCAGCCCATTGGCCAAGGGGCGCTTCTTGTAGAAATACTTCCCGATCATTGTCAGTGCTGGCTGCAGGTTGAAGGCGAGTCCCAGCCCTAGATAGAAATGTTTTAGAAAAGTCAATCAGTTGCTGTTACTCCAAATGAAGCAAAATCAGAGCTGACATTTTAAGAGGATGTGTGTTCATCAAATGACATGAAACTGATGTTTTCAAAATCCCTCCATGGCCTGATCTCAGCCCAACTCTGTCATCTCCATTAGCACTTGAACACTTTGATTTCTCTACACTCTGTGTCCTCTCCTCATGCTCATTCTCAATGTTAATCACTTCATTTTTGGTGATCATGACATCAGCTGTCTACATCCTCAACCTCTCTCTCTCTCTCTCTCCTCTCTGCTGCTGCTGTCGTTCTACCTATTTCTCTTCTTGGGCTCTCTGTCTCTCAATTGATCTCTATCGCTCATTTCATCTCTCATGTTGTCTCTGTCTCTGTTGTAATGATTCAGGCTGATTTTATCACTGGAGAAGTCAAATGCTAGACTGAAATTGGCTTGATAGATCATATTTTGTGGTTTTTTTTACTTTTAACGAGGTGGTCTCTCCCTGAAACACAAACATATAATGCTGCAGATGCAATTTTAACAATCAAACAGAAGTTTATTCTGCAAAAGAAATGCAGATAAAATAGAATAAACCATTATTCTTTTCATAGAATCCCTACATTGTGGAAACAGGCCCTTCGACCCAACAAGTCCACACCAACTCTCAGAGCATCCCACCCAGGCCCATCCCCCTATAACACATCTAATCTACACATCCCTGAATTCTCAGGGCAATTTAGCATGGCCAATCCACCTAACCTGCACATCTTTGGACTGTGGGAGGAAACCAGAGCACCCGGAGGAAACCCATGCAGACACGGGGAGAATGTGCAAACTCCACACAGACAGTCACCCAAGGGTGGAATCAAACCCGGGTCCCTGACGCTGTGAGGCAGCAGTGCTAACCACTGAGCCATCGTGCCACCCCATTCTATTTTAATTTCATTTCTTTTGGAGAATAAACCAATCCTTTTACATAAAACACAAACTTAAATATTTGAAAACATACATAAAATACAACACCATTAATCCCAAAAGCACTCCTTTAATGTACTCACACTAGAGATAAAATTCCCTTCTTTATCACATTTGGGATTTAATTTAACGACATTTCAGTTTCTGGTCCTGAGAATTTGATCACCTCTTCCTTGAATCTTTATACAACTGAGCTTAAACTTTCTCAACTTCATATAAACCCTTCAAGATTTTAACCAAATACTTCTGGTCTGGAACCTTTAAACTAAACTCCTTACACAAAGGTAACTAATTTCTTAATGGAGGTTCAAGTTATAATGAAAGGCTAGAAAAACTTGCATCGTTTTCTCTGGAGCGGCCAAGGCTGAGGGGAGACTTGATAGAAGTCCATAAAATTATGGGATGCATAGATAGTGTTGATGGTCAAAATCTTTTTCCCGGGGCTGAAATATCTAATACTAGGAGGCATGCATTTAAGGTGAGAGGGGGAAAGTTCAAAGGGGATGTGAGGGGCACAGAGAGTGGTAGGAGTCTGGAACACGTTGCCAGGGGTGGTAGTGGAGGCAGATACAATAGGGACGTGTAAGGGACTTTTAGATAAGCACATGAATGTGCAAGGAATGGAGGAACATGGACCAAGGGCAGACAGACGGGATTAGTTTCATTTCGTGTCATGTGCAGCACAACAGCATGGGCGAAAGGGCCCATTCCTGTGCTGGATTGTTCCATGTTCCATGTTCTAGTTCTAAACTACCTTCCTTTCTTGGGAGCAACTGTTTTACAATCCAACATCAACCAAGACTCGTGTAAACTGACCTACCCTGAAACCCAAAAGCTTTGTCAAGCTCTGGCTGTTTCCCCTAACCAAACCAAAAAAAAAAAATCTCTGACCTTTTAAGCTGAAAGCCTAATGCACACCGTTTACATTATTTGCTCATATAAACTTGCCCAGTGTAAATAAATTCCTTTTAGAATCCAAGAAATATCTCTCCAAGACTTCCTTTTTAAAAATAAAATCAGCATGGCTCTAGAAAGACCCACAAGTTAATCAAAAAACCTCTTCACCAAAAGTCACATACCACTAGCCCAAATCCGATCTCTAAAATCAATGGTTTTAAAACATGGGCAAATCACATACCTTACATCACACTGTCTCTCTCTGTCTGTCTCTCACTCTGCCTATTTCTATATCTCTCTTGCTTGCTGTCTGTCTACCTCTCGCTCACACAATCTATCTGTCTCTCTCTCTTTCCGTCTCCCTCTCTTTGTCTCGTCCTCTGTCATTCCATGTGCATCTCTCTCTCTCTCTCTCTCTCTCAATGTCTGCCCTCTCTCTTTCTCACCTTTAAGTCAATGCTACCTCTGCTACCAAGATTTTGGCCACCTATTGTCCCAATGTGGATCAAATTCTGTTTGCTTATTTTCCTGTAATGTGCCTTGGGGGGCGGTTTCGCTATCTTAAAAGGTGCTATAAAAATGCAAGTAGTTGCCCTCTGGGGAGTGGCTCTCTGGGTTCGGAAAGCTGATACACAGCCGGCTTTTGCTGATGTTCTGGCCAACACTAATTCCTCAAGCAACCTCACTGAAGGAGACATTCTGATCGTGATCCCATCAGTGTTTGTGGAAGCTTGCTGGCTGCCACATTTTTTTCCCCACAAGTGACCGTATTTCAAAAAGCATGGTCATTTTGGGACCTGCTAACACTGTGGAAGGCACTACACACATACAAATCCTTTCCTAATTCTGATGTGCATCGGGTATTAGATCTCTGTGTAATCAGGACAGTGATGCTGATGCTGCAGCTAAGACTGAATTAATAACTTATAAGGTTATGTTGGTGCTCAAAGAGCCCTGAAACATGCTGCACAGAGCTCACTAATGGATTGAAATTGACTGAAGGAAGTTCAGTTCTCTGCACAGAGAGGTTGCAGTGTAGTGAATTCCCTCAATAACTCAGGGAATGTCAGTTAGATCAGTTAATCACGGTAGTGATATAACAAAGCCAAACGTTGCAGGAAAAAAAAAGGAGCAGTGAATGAAATACATAAAACAAGCACATCCCTAAAGGGAAATTCAGTAAATATTTAATTTTACAATAATGCTACTTCAATTTTCATGGCAACCTTAGATATGAGACACTTGTTAGACCTCAGCTGGAGTATTGTGTACAGTTATGGGCACCACATTATAGCAAGGACTTGAACACTTGGAAAGAGAGAGAGTGCAGAAGTCATTTATGATATTGCTTCACTGCCTCAGTGTTGACCCTCTGACAATGAGGCATGGAGTATGGGAGTTGGGAGAGTCATGTTGTGGCTGTAGAGGACATTGGTTAGGCCACTTTTAGAATATTGCATTCAGTTCTGATCTCCCTGCTATAGGAAAGATATTGTGAAACTTGAAAAGGGTTCAGAAAAGATTTACAACAATGTTTCAGGGCTCAGAGGGTTTGAGTTATAGGGAGAGGCTGAATTGAAGTTGGATTGAAGGGTCTGTTTCCATGCTGCACAGCTCCGTGACTCCATTACCCTAAGTTGAGGCTGTTCCCATTGGACAGAAGGCTCTTTTGTGGCGAGCAGGCGCGCAAAGAAGTAATTTGACAGAGATTTTCAAAATCGTGAGTGGGCTGGATAGAGTGGATAAGTAGAAGCTGTTCCTGCTCATGAAAGGAAGGAAAACAAGATGGGATAGATTTAAAGTGATGTATGAAAGAAGCAGAGGTGATGTGATAACAGCTTTTCTCACTCAGCGAGTAGCTAAGGTCTGGAATGCACTGCTTGGAAATGTGGTGGAGGCAGCTTCAATTCAGACATTCAAATAGGTATTTGATAAAAATAATGTGTAAGGATGTGGGGAGAAGGCAGGAGACTGGCACGAGGTAAAGATTCCCCTTTAACGAGTCAGAGTAGGCAGGATGGCCTCCTGTGCTGGAACTATTCTGTGACTCTATAAAGAGTTGCTGAGGGTCAGACTACTGCTGTTGTAGGTTACAGTGCTGCGAGTCTGGCCTTCATCTGATGTCACTGTGTCACTAATCCTCACTAACTGCTCCCAGAGATAGCTGGAGTTAGAAGCCAGTTAGCATCACATCTGTGATCCATCTGTAAATGATATCCTGGTTTAAAATCAGATGGAGAGAAAGAGAGAGAGAGAACTGAGAGTGCATGGTGCTGGGGCAGAATGCAGGCAGACAGACCTTGGGTGCAGAGCTGCAATCAGCTTTCCACTTCCTCCATCCAAATTACCAAGTGCTAATGCGGGTGACTGAGGACTTTCTCAGCTCATTGCAATGCTACAGCAGAAAGGGGGCCACCAAGTGATCATTCTTTAATTCGTTCATACGATGTGGTATTGCTATAAGGACAATCTCACCCATTCCTGGGTCCTAGACCATTTCAGAGGGAGCCACATTGCTGTGGGCTTAACCAGGTAAGGATAGTAGGTGATAGTAACGTCTGCAGATGCTGGAAGTCAGAATCGATAGAATGTGGAGCTGGAGGAGCATAGTAGGTCAGGCAGCATCAGGGGAGCAGGAAAGTCGACGTTTCAGGTTGGGACCCTTCATCAGGACTGTGGAGGGGGAAGGGAGCTGGAAATAAATAGAGGGAGGAGGGTGGGGCTGGGGAAGGTAGGTTGGATGGTGATAGGCGAATGCAGGTAGTGGGTGGTGGAGATAGGTCACATAAAGGGCGGGGCAGACAGGTGATAAAGAAGATGTACAGGTTGTGTCAGGTTAATGAGGTGGGGATGAGAGGGAGGGTTGGATATGGAAAGAGGCCGGGGTGGGGCGGATTTTGAAACCGGTGAATTCTATGTTGAGGCCGTTGGGCTGTAGGCTCCTGATGCAGCATATAAGGTGTTGTTCCTCCAGTTTACGTGTGGCCTCAATGTGACACTGGAGGAGGCCCAGGATGGACATGTCACCCAGGGAGTGGGAAGGGGAGTTAAAGTGGCTGGTGACCAGAAGGTGTAGCTGATTATAGTGTATAGAGCGCAGATTCTCCACAAATCAGTCTCTGATATAAAAGAGATCACAACAGGAGCAACGAATACAGTAGACCAGGTTGCAGGATGTATAGGTGATCCCCTGTCGGATTTGGAAAGATTGTTTGGTGCCTGGGATGGGGGTGAGGGGGGAGGTGTAGGGGCAGGTGTAGCACCTCCTGCGGTTGCAGGGAAAGGTGCCGGGGGTGGTGGGGCTTGTGGGGAGTGTGGAGCAGATGAGGGAGTCGCGGAGTGAGCAGTCCCTATGGAAAGCGGATAGGTTTGTGGGAGGGGAATATCTTTTTGGTGGGGGTTCAGACTGCAGGTGAAAATAACGGAGGAGGATGCATTGGATTTGGAGGTTGGTGGGGTGGTATGTGAGGACCAGGGGGCCTCCATCCTTATTGTTGTTGGCGGAGGGGCGGAGGGGATTTGAGGGCAGAACTGCGGGAAATGCAGGAGATGCGGCTGAGGGCATTATGAATCATGGGTGAGGGCAAATTATGGTCCTTGAAGTAGGAGGACACCTGGGATGTCGGGAGTGGAACGCTTCACCCCGGGAGCAGATACAGCAGAGGCGGGGAATTGTGAGTATGGGAACACATTTTTGCAAGGATTGTAGGTGGATGGGTCCAGATGGGTCTTTAGCAAGTGACAGCCAATTCATGGTCACTAATTCTAAATTCCTTGTGGTAAGAGGGTGGGGATTTGAACACATATCTCCAGCACATTAGCCTGGGCAGCTGGGTTACAAGTTGACCACTTCACTAACCGGCTTCCCCTATCATCAGTGACCGCTTCAGATACTTTACAGGATTAAAATGGGTGACCACATGGCTAAGCATTACCCAGGTAGTCACTGCAGAATCTCACAATATGCCACCAAGAGATACAAATTAATACAGCAATTGTTGTATTAATACCCACACAACGTTAATTAAACAAGGAGTCGCACAAGAACCACGCACTTACCCCCGATGACTCCTATACAGAAATAAAGCTGCACAATGCTCTTGCAGAATGAGGCGATGATCATTGCCGAGCTGGCCAGTAGTCCACCCAATAGTACCACAGGCCGACTGCCATACCTGTTCACCAGGACACTGCTGATGGGACCTGCAGGGTACAGGAGATTAGTTAGTATGTTCACCTGAGGAACATAGGAACGGAAGTAGGCTATTCAGTCCTTTGAGCCTGTTCCACCATCCAACAAAGTCATGGCTGACCTGTAGCCTAATTCCATAGGCCCGCCTTTAGCCCATATCCCTTAATATCTGTACTTAATAAAAAGAAAAGCTGTCTCAGATTTAAAATTGAAAACTGATCAAGCATCTATTGCTGTTTGTGGAAGAGCGTTCCAAATCTCTACCAGCCTCTGTGTGTAGAAGTATTTTCTAACATTTCTCCTGAATCATCTGGACCTATTCTCAGACTATGCTCCTAGTTCTAGAATCCCCAACTAGCAGAAATAATTTACCCATCGTCTTTTCCTGTTAATATCTTGAAGGCTTTGATCAAATCACCCCTTAACCTTCTAAATTCTGGAGAAAGCAGGCCTCATTTGTATAATCTCTCCTCATAACTTAACCCCTGAAGTCCAGGTATCATTCTTGTAAACCTATGTTGTTCTGTGTCCAAGGCCAGTATATCCATCCTAAGATGAGGTACCCAGATCTGCTCACAGTCTCCAAGTGGGCTCTAACCAGAGTGAAGAGGGTTAGCGCTCTCTCAGCAGAATGTGACACAAGTCTCTCCCTGAAGTTAGCTGGATGTATATGTCCCCCTGAGATGTTTCCAAGCCCTCCCTAACTGAGGACATAGATAGGGTGGAGAAGAAGGAACTTTTCCCCTTAATGAAGGGATCACCGACTAGAGCCATAGATTTATGGTCAGGGGCAGGAGGTTTACAGGGGATGTGAGGAGAAATGTTTTTACCCAGAGGGTGGTGGGAACCTGGAGCTCACTTCCTGTGAGTGTGGTTAAAGCAGAAACCCTCATAACATTGAAAAGGTATTTAGATGTGCACTTGCGCTGCCAAGGCGTACAGGGATAAGGTCCAAATGTTAGAAAATGAGATTAGAATCGTCAGGTGGTTGTTTTTGTCAGGAGTGGGCATGATGGGCCGAAGGGCCTCCTCCTGTGCTGTAGATCTCTGTGACTGCTAGGTTACTGTTACTCAATGATGAGTTCACACTCCCATCCCTCCATGATAGTGAGGTTGGAAGTGCAGAGACCAAGCCTGAATGGTTGAGCTGAGGTTTCATTTTTCTGTAACATTCTCAGAGATTAGAGCCTCCCAATGTCTCTGCCAAACTGCCCTCCTCTACACTCAGTCCAAGCTGGGTTCACCAACCCCCCACCACCACCACAGGGTAGCTCCAGCCCATGCCGGACCCTCAGGGTCTCTGGTGAACACTACACTTCCTCTACTGTGTTCCTGCAGTTGACAGATGCTAGGGGCATGATTTCCACGTGTTGTTGCATACACAGCTTCTGTCGAAATCTGCAGTTTATCAACTTTGCCAGAGTCAAAGTCTGCCAAATAAATGAGATAACAAGAGTCCCCCTCACATTTAGTGGGTTATAACAGCTCCGACTGACTTTGCCCTCTCACACTCCGTTTACTCGGGCTTTAGCAAAGAGACAGTGCAATTAGTCATGAGTAAAGCTCCCTCTACACTGTCCCCATCAAAAATTTAACTACTCCCAGCAAATATCCTTTTTTCTGGCACTAAAACGCTGTTGTCAAAGTTCAAACATTATAGATGCTCATGTGTTTCCAATTTGATGTGCTGGCTGCACTGCAGGAGTCTGAAAGCTGTAAATAGCAACAAAACAGTTCCTCAGTGTCTTAGCTTCCACTTAGCTTAACATGGAATTCTGGCTTGAGTGAAATCTTTGATCAGCAGCACTGAGTGCCTTTTTTAGCACCAACCAGTTGAATAGTCGCAAGTTGGCAATCCATAGTCCAGGACAGCTCCGTTAGAGATAGTGACTGCAGCTTTGTGAGACGTGGCAACTGTTACTCAGTGTGTACTGTTCATATCATTGATTCTGAAGTTTGTGCGTTCAAGTCTCACACCACAGGGAAATCTGCCCTCGCCGATATGACCTCTTATGACTCCATCAGACCTGTTGCATCTTTTCTATCCTCACTTTATCGCCGTTGAGCCTGGCAATGTCCTAGTAAACTTCCTCCTATCCCCCTTCCTATGTGCCTGTGAGTCAGGTTAGGGACACCTGGAGCCTATTTAAATGCACGCTCTCTGTTTAGGAACAAGAAAGGAACCACATTAGCGATCTTCCAGTCATCTGGCACTTCATCTGTGTTGTTGAGGGATTAAACATCTCTGAGGCCTCAGCAATCTCCCCCCTTACCCAGTACAGCAGCTGGGATACATCTCATCAGGCTCTGAATACAGATGGGAAATATTCATTTAGGATCTCACTCACATCCTCTGGCTCCACTCACAGGTCAATCCTTTGGTCTCTATAGGCCCCACGCTTTCCCTGGTAATCCTCTTACTCTTAATATACTTATAAAAAGCCTCAGGGCTTTCCTTAATCCCTTTGCTAAAGATATTTCCTGGCCCCTCTTTGCCCTCAGAATTTCCTTTATAAGCACCATCCCCTCCACTCTTTATATTTTAGTAGGGCCTCTGTACAAACAGAAACTGCAATAAGCCCATACGCAAAAAGTGACCCTATCTTTACCCACTGCCCCTCACCCCAATTTAAACCCCTCACCCATTCCTGCAGCATGGCAGATCATAGTTCAGGTCCTGCTGTCATCCTAAAAATCTAATTTTTGTGAAAGCAAGCTTGTGATTCAATCACACAACAAGGAAATGTTACAATACTTGCCCTCTCAGGACCTTCTCTCATCTGGCCTTCTCTGTTTTTGGTTAAAAAAAAACCAGCTCCTAACCTCAGGCCATGTTTGGCAGTAACCCAACTGTGTTAAATGTCACAGGCCCCTATAACCCATGCACTCAGTGTGGTCACACTGGCTTCATGTGATAGGATCATGAGGTAGTTGTAATGACTAGCTCCAGTTTAGGCTGTTGAACCAGAATGTTTGTCGGGGAGGGAAGATAGCACCAGTCAGGGCATAGAACAAAGTGCAGAAAGCAGAAAGTGAACTGTCCTGCACTGGACACAGATGTGTTTGGCAGAATGGTGTCGAAACCTGACTTTGGGGCGTGCATGCACACGCGTGTGCGTGTGGATGTACATGCGTGTGCATGTGTGTGCGTGTGCTCGTGTGCGCGCATGTGTGCGTGCGCATGCGCATGTGTGTGCATGCGTGTGCATGTGCACTTGTGCGTATGTGTTGTGCGTGCGTGTGCGTTTCTGTGCGCGCGTGTCCGTGAGACTGGGGAGAGTGTGTGGATATGGGGGTGGGGGGGGGTGTGTGTGTGAAAGAGGGGAGTGTGTGCGCGCACGCGCGTATGCATGTGCATGTGCCCGTGTGTGTGAGAGAGTGCGAGTGTGTGAGTGTGAACGCGAGCGAGTGTGTGAGTGTGAACGCGAGTCTGTGTGAGAGCGGGGAGTGTGTGTGAGAGAGGGGGGGGTCTGTGTGAGAGAGGGGGGGGGTGTGTGTGTGAGAGAGGGGAGAGCGTGTGAGAGAGAGGGGACAGTGTGTGTGTGAGAGAGGGGAGAGTATGTGTGTGAGAGTGAGAGAGAGAGGGGTGTGTGTGTGAGACTGACAGCAGAACTGCCAGTGATGATGCAGTGACCTAGTTTGGTTAAATTCATGAAAGGATCTGAAACAATCTTTGAAAGATTGAGTGATTCTGCACAGTGACAGAGTAAGAGGCACACTTTCAAAACAGGCGCATTAATGTCTAATGAACCATATCACTCAATCTGTTGCCTAGAGTGCCTTTGAAAGGTAATTATCAAACAATCACTTCCTCATCAACATTTTTATCATAGGTTTAATGTATGTATTGTACCAGTATTATTTACTTACTAATTTACTTACACCTCATTGTACTTTGATTATCAACACTCACGGAATATCAGAATCCAAAACTGGTATTCAGGAGCAAATATAACGAATACTAGGACACTCCAGTTGTTGGAGGAGACATGTACAAAATAAGGCACAAGGGAGGACGAGAAAGCTGTATTGTATCTATTTTAATGCAAGGAGCCCAACTGGTAAAGAAGATGGACTTAGAGCACTGGAGTCAGCACATGGGAATATGATATTGTGGCAATCACTGGGACATGGCTGAAGGAATGACAGGACTGGCGGCTCAACATTCCAGGGGATAGAAGTTTCAGGTGGGATAGGGGAGGAGGGGATGTAAGACAGATGGGGGCATTGTATTATTGATAAAGCCAGCCACCACTGCAGTAATGCTGGAGGACAGCCTTCAAGTATCTCCAAATGAGGCCATCTGGATTGAGTTTAGAAATAAACAAGGGGCAATTATTTTGCTGGAATTATACTACAGGTCTCCCAACCGTCAGAGGCAGATAGAGGAGCAGATACGTAGGCAAATCACAGAAAGTGCGACAGAAACGGGTTATAGTTGAAAGGGATTTCAACTTTGCTAACATTAACGGGGATTGTCTTCGTGTGACAGGATTTGACAGGGTCGAATTTTTATATTGCACCCAGGAGACTTTTTTTTGTGCCAGTACACAGATAATCCTGCTAGAGATGGGGCACTGCCAGATCTAATCCCAGGGAATGAAGCCAGTCGAGAGTTTGAAGTGACAGAGGGCAAGTGGGGAAAGTGACCAGAACTCTAACTTCCAAAGTCATTATGGGAAAGGAAAATAGTTTGGGAAACTTGGTCCACATGGATGAGTTGGACTGAAGAGTCTGTTTCCATGCTGTATGACTCTATGACTCCATGATTATGATAAGGATAGTGCAGACATTTAAGCATCTAAACTGGGGAAGGCCAATTTCAATACCATTCAACAGGATCTGGCTAACATAGCTACTTGTTGCTCCCAGTCTTATGTTAGCCAGATCCTGTTGAA